AAATTAAGGTACCAGACTTTGGAGTGTACTTATACCATACCTTTCTGATCAGATTTGGGATTGTAGTGATATAATGATAGCAGACTTTGGATGTGACAGACAGGCCAGTTTTACACATCTCATTTACAACAGTTAATGATCGTCCCTAACATCTCCACTTTATCACTACATCAGGGATACCATCATACCAGGAATACCACACAGATGATGTTATCATAAACACCATTTTATCTCATCATTTATGAATCTGTAGTTGACAAAGTTTAATCTAAAAAGAGGAAAAAACACACCCCTTATTTAGTTTTCTCTGATGATGTACGCCACACTTATAACAACTTACACATGCAAGAATAGGCTATCTCCCTTGAAGTACATTCTGAACGCAGCTTAGATATCTTTGTTCCATTTCTTAATAATAAAATATAAATTGTCATCCTTTCGTTTATGTCAACATGATGGATGAATTTATCCGTAATATTTCTCTTGATTAAAGAAAAAACAGTCATCAGTCGCTGCTAATGGGAGGTTTTCTCTCCCGTGTTTAGTGTGACAGTACATTTGCTACTTTCTATTTCATTTTTTGTTTCATTTTTTACATTAATATAATGAAGATATATATCACACTAATTCATGTTTTAATGGTGAAAATGTGACCACGGAAATATCTTGAACAAAAACATACTTTAAGTATTGTAATAAACTAAGGTGTTATGTGGAGGAGGTGTGGAGGGAAAATTAGGGCCTGACAGAGTGTTGTCATTCAGTGGCCGAGGACAGCTATTGTTAATGATTTCAATGTGTATTTCAATGTTTCAGATGACAGTCCTGGTTGATGTTCGACTAAAACAAGGTATGAAACACAGGCCCCCTGGACCTTTTTAGTTTGATTACTTTCTGCGTAACTATTACATGTTTTGTACCTAAAACATAAGACCCATTACCTCCTTGACCCCTAACCCTCCCTCCTAACACCTTCCTGGAGGTCCCATCCATCTAATGGCCCCATAAACAAGCCCCTAGGGGTTTCATCTGTCCAGTGTAACATTGTGATTTATAGGGGACGTTTGTTTACAGTTTCTCCACTTACAACAGCTCTAAAGCTGAAATAACATAGGTAGTGAGTGATAAGTAAACTCAATGGTAAAGAACCCTGGTACCTTGACACTCATAAAAAAATCAATAAAGACTTGAACCAAAAACTATAGAATATACATCATGTGAAGTCTTACTAACAAAGCATTATCTTATATCTGTGATCCCATAATGGGACAAGTGTCATTTTTTTTAAGAGCGTGGTCTTCATAGAGATGTTCACTCAACACTAAACAGATCTGTTGATCAAAAAATAGAAATTTACATGTTCACTTTTGATGGTTGTCCTTTAAACACAAGACCAGTCAATTTAACATATAGGCAACTATATTCAACATCGTTGGAAAGAAAATGTTCATCTGCCGATGTCAACTGAGGAACATACAAAAGCGCCACTCAAGGGTTCAAGAATGTGAACAAGTAATATATCTACCATTTATTTTAAGAAACTGATTTTCAGAAACAGAATTTATGACAACAAATAAATCCTGTCCATTTGTGATTGGGTTATACAACCCTGAAGAGTTTTTCCATTTCTAACTCTGAGAGGTGCGATGTGTGTTTCTTATCAGGTCAACAATTAAAAGTCCTAATTGTTTATTGAAACTTGATAATGTCTCATTATTTCTAAAATAAAGTAGAGGTATGATGGCAAACAGAGGTTTACATGTAGTCTGCATGGTTTTTTCATGACAGTTTCTCAGTAAATCAGCTAGTCCCTATAGGTTATATTACAAAATCAGATGACATGCACATTCTGTTGAGGTTAAAATCAATTGTTCTTTATGAGGGGATCAAACTACAAGAAAATCCTTAAGACATTGTAAACTTAGGTGAGGTCCAAATATTGAACTAAAACACTAACGCCTTCAAATATTGACTTCTAACCTAATCAGATAAGTCAGATGTATACATGGAATGTCGGGTACGCTCACAACGTTAATCCAGAGAGAGAGAGAGAGAGAGAGAGAGAGGGTCATTAATGATAAATATTAGTCAGAAATGAAGAAACCTTTGATTACAGGACTTACTCAAACAATAGGGTTGTTTGTAGCAGGTGAGTGGAAATTTTTACAGGTATGAGTAGCCAACAGATGTAGGTTTGTAGGTTAGAAAGTTATACATAGGTTAATGCTAAACCAATAAATGTTTGTCCTATTTCTTCAATTGTCCCCTGTAACAAGGGCAAATAAAGTATGTATCTTAACATCGGGTAACACTTGGAATGTGTTTTATCGCTGTGAGGAAATTTATGATATAAGTATACATTATGTAGGTCAGAATGCTACAGGTATAGTAATAACAGCTGGTATTGATTCTGTGATATATCATCCGCTACGTATGTAAAGATGAGGTCTTTAAAAAAAGAACTCTCGGTGAACTTATTGAACTAAAGATATCAAACTTCTTGCTCCAGCTGTTTAGAAATTTAAGAACATGCTCCAAATAAGAACTTGTTTTTTTTTTGCTCAAATTACATGCAAATAAAATAGATATTCCAAATACATAAATACTTACTAAATAAGATATTGTTTGTTTTGTTGTTGGATATTCTCACAACAGAAAAGGTCATATAAAGAGAGTGAACATTGATGAAAGTGTCACTGGTAGACACTTTTATAGTGCTATCACACTGGAATATCGAAACATGGACCAATTTGAATCATGACCTTGAGCTATGGTCATGTGACTCCTTATTTTAAGTCATCTTTGATTCATTATATCATAACAAATTAATTTTGACCTTTACCTTGACCTCCGATATAAAATCATGCCTTTTCACATTTTATTCTTATCAACTTATCAAATATAAATAATATTTGTCATTAGCGTTAGGTGAACTTTGTTTCATATCTTGCCTGAGGCAATATAATAACTGAGGAAATATTTGGTAAAATTCAGATGTAGGTCACAGTGACATCACTAAGAGCAAGGTACAATGTTTGTAACAGATTTAAAAGTTATTTGTAGGAAACTGACATTGAGTGATAAAATTTCAAGTCTCATAAGGATATTTTTATCTCTGAAAAGATATGTTCTGAACAAGATATACAATGTGAAAGGCTATCCATCCATAATACAGATTACACTTGTTCTGATAGATACAACCAAACTATCACTTCATAATTTATGAAATATTAGAATTTGGAACTTTTATGTTAAAAAATGGAAAACCAGTATTTATATAGACAGGAAGCTTTTCTTTTTACCCAGGAAGCTGAGTAATCGGGCTGTCTTGTGCTAATGTGGTTGGTGTCCTTGTACTTAAATAGAAATTACTTAAACTGTTCTGGATGACAGCCGATGGGCCTCTTGTATGTTGTTCAATGTAGTGGTCACCAGATAATACAAAGCAATCCACCTCAAAATGACCTTGGTTACTGACATAGAACAAAACAACACATCCGCACAAGGCACTGTATAACCGGACTATACAAAATTCCAATACATTGTCATATCTTCATTGTCACTTTTTATCTTTAACTAACAAGGTAAATGTCCTAATTCTAAAACAGATTTCCCTTCTCATATTTTTATGTCAGTGATAAGATAAAAATGGTATATAGCAGCTGTGTGCATCACATTCACAAAGAACAAGGAATGAGTTCCAGTGAAAGGGAGGTAACTCTGATTTAACAATCACATTAAATTGTAATAGGCATCACTGCCTGATAGTTTTTCAGGTAATCATTTAATAGGAATCTTTTAATAGGATGATAGTGAACGCAGGCATTTCTGCCTCTGTATTCACATCATAGTCTATGACTTTGACAAAATTGCTATTCATCTTAACAACATACAGTATTTGTTTGTTAACAAAACTGTTTTCACTCATGGATTCCAACTTTTGATCCATACTATCATTTTTTACATACAGACCTGTCTATTTATACTACAGATTTTACCTGTAAGTACACATAACTAAACTTTCAAGAAACTTGAAAAAGAAGCATCAGAATCAAACTATCATTGTTTTACTTATGTAAAACTCTTATTTAAATAATATAAATTACCAGTGAACTATTGGTTTGTTTTTGTTATTTATTTCTCTGGTATAAATTACCGGGTAAACTTTATGCATTTTACAACAATTTTGAAATAACTATGTCCAGCTTATATTAATCACTCACTTTTCATTTTTCAGCACAAAAAAAACTTTAGACTGACAAAAAAATCTGAGAAAAATAAAAAAAAAAGAGGAAAATTTGGATGAAATTGAAATTTGACCTGTAAACCCTTAGTTTGAAGCCACAAACCAAGTGTCAATCTCCGAATATAACAGAAAGAACTCTGGACAACTGAAGCACAAAAGGCTGGAACTGCCCATATAATCAGATTTTTGAACTGGAATTCTAACTTCATATGTAAGACTGCAAGTTGAGGTCACAGACGAAATTTTAAGTCAGTATCTTTTAACATGAGGTAAAAGGGTAATTCTCACAGAAAGCATTAAGGAAAAATATTTAGAAAACTGACATATGAAGTAGAGACTAACACCATATGTACCACTTCCCCCTGTCTCATGGCAGAGACATATAAAGGTTAGTTTCTATAGGAAAAATAGTCAGTGACATTGTATTGTCAACAAACTAGAACACTCATGGAACAGACACAGATAAACACTATATGTCCCACCCCACTCCCCTCTGTTTCATGGTAATGACATATAAAAGGTTAGTTTCTATAAAAAATGGTACATGACATTATCAACAAACTAGAACAGTCATGAAACAGATGACTAAGCATCTCCCCTATAAATGCTGTATTGTTATCAGAAGGTAAACCTGAAGTGCAATGACAAAAATAAACAGAGATCACATGTGGAAATAATATCAAAATATATGAAAATTGAAATGATACTTCTGACATTTGGAAAAATAGATATCTGTGATGATATAAGTACTGACCTATCTTGTTTTCAGAGTCAATCAGCAGAAGATCAGCATTTTGACCTATGACCTTGGCACAGCTGACTTGTAGAAGTGGACACTGCTCTGAGGAGCTGTGCTCCTTGAGGACCATCAGCCATTTCTGTATTGGGTCAGAGTTATCTGCCCCTAATCTCGGCAAATTCTGTGAAAATAGGAAGAAAAGTAATAGATGATTTTTTAATGAATATTCTGAGAACATGTTATCAAAATACTTATTTTCAGATTATGTTATCAAAATACTGAAATGACTAAAGTTTATGAAATATTCTATCTGACAAGATCTAGTTCCTGTTCAAAACTAACACAAGAGCGACAAATTGTATTTCTATAACATCAAAGCCATGATCTTGTTTTAAAGTGAACACTTTTTTTTTTATCTTGATTCACACTATAGTGAGATAAGACTACTTATGTAATGGATAATATTTAGAATAAACCAAAACAATTAATAACAAGTATGGAATGTTTAACAGAAAATAACAATGTCAAAAAAGACAGAAAAACAAAGTCTTCATTGTTAAAGGAATGTTTGTCACTGGAGGCTTTGTTTCAAGTGTTATGAGGAATCTGAATGTTTGAAGGCTTGTAAGGTTGTACAATTGCAGATAATTGGCAGATCTTCCCCTTGTTAATCAGTTGAGGAAGCTCTGTTATGTCTGGGGTAGCACCTGCTCCATATAGTACAAACTAAGTACAAAAACTACCACATACATACAGGCATGTGGCAATCGTAAACACAAAATGTACCGAGAGGGCCCAAAACCACATGGCAAGCGCTGAAAATAGAGCTGTACCTGTGAACAATCAAGCCCTTGAAAACAGAACACAACCTAACTCAACTGTCAACAAGTATTGTTTCTTACAATGTGTACTTATTATAGCAACAACAGTATAGCCTGCCAAACTGCTGGAGAAAGTTAGGAGATTACAGCAGACTGAATTAAAAAAGTTGGGCATCCAAGAGGACTATTCCAGGTCAGAAAATGAAAAAAAGTTGGATTCCAGTATGAATAATGGAGGCTTTCTTCCTATCCATGGAAAAGATCCCTGTATCATTGCCGGTGTTCTTTATCAAAAAGATTCCTCAAAGGTCTTCTGTACTTTACAAAGTATAGAAGGTCTCACCTGTCAAGATAATTCTGCTACAATCATAGGTTTCCCTAAACATTGCAAAATCAAGGTGTTTTTTTTTCTCTACAGAATGAGCTGCTAGGATATATACAAAACACCTACATATTTTGAATAAGTCATCCCTTCATATTTCATCTTAATCCTTAAACGCTGTAAATAACTTCATGTTTAACAGATATGAACCAGACCAATATTGTGACTTTTGGCTGTACAAATAATAGCAGCAGGTTTCAGGTAATGATTAAAATCCCTTTCCAAGCTACCTTGACGCTATGCAAGGCGAAAGCCAGAGGAATTCAAAGGGGATACAAAAACATGCCAGTATACTTAGGGAACTAGCCAAACACATGGCAATGACTGAAACTAGCAGTATACCTGGTAACGATCAGCTGTAAGGTGCACAAGCAAAGAGGCCATGAAGTCTCGTGTGGAGTCAAGGACAAATTGAACAGGTATCATGTAAGTTATGAAGCATAATGGAAACACCTGTTGCTTTGTTAAGAAATGCCAGCGTTACCGGGATTTAATCCAACCACAATAAACAGGAAGAGTCACAATAACAGTGTTGTTTCTTTATTTATTACACCAAGTTATCTTCACACATGGCATTTCTTAGTCTCTACTGGTGTTGAATGTTCGGGAGTATAGAGGAGAAGCTGACTGGAGCGTTAAGAAATAAACATAGCAGCAGCTTTAATGATAACATATAACTTTGTTTTTCTAAACTTTATGGAATCAAAGTACATGTCGATGAAGGGTAAAAACTTGTACAAAGACCAACATCTGTAAATAGAGAAAGACATAGTCTACATGTTTCCCGATGCCCTCTCCAGGATTTGTCTTGGAGAAACAATTCATTCTTACTAAGTATTTCCTTCCAACCGTGACTATATGTTTATTGCAGGGGTATCAGGGAAGGATTCAAGTTCTGGAAAGCTGTGTGAAGTTCATGTTACTAATGTTGAGTCGTCCAAGATTTTTAACTGTGAAGATTGAATTTTCAGAGCTTTTAACACTTGAAAACTGTCTGAAGTTCTCATATTTGATATGGAGATGTCCAAGATTTTTACTGTGAAGAGTCATCTAAAGTTCTAAGTCTGGAAAACTGCAGGAGTTCTTACTGGGGAGAACTGCTGTTCAAAGTCAAACTCTGAAGACTTAGCTTTCCTGAATTCTAACTTTCAAGAACTGTGCAAGGTTTGGGGAGCTGTTTACCCATGAACCAGCAACAGCAAGTCCTTGTCAACTATGAGACAATCCCCTGTTTCTAAATTCCTAAAACAGACTATTTACAAACAAACAAAAAAGTAGGCATTGATTTTGGTCTTGGAACCTTGTATAAGAAATCAGTACATGGTTAGACCACCTGGACCAATGACTAAACCACATAAAAAAGCAGACCAAATTCTAAAGTGGTCAGAAGTAGAAATTTTATGGTACGAACTCTCGTTGAAGAGGACAGTTAGATATGCTTAAACCACCAGGTGGCACTGTAGGAAACATCCTAATTGTTCAAGATTGTCAAAGTCCTTAACTTTACGATCAAAACACTCGTCAAACCGAATGGTTCACTGGCTATCTTCCGACCTTTACACTTCCTTTGGCCATTAAGGAAGTTTTCTCAAGTGTAAATTAAGATGGCAAGTTGAGCTGTCTGGTGCAGTATTACACTACAAAACACCATATTGTTGATATCACCAACACATGCAGTTGACCACAGCCTGTGTTTTCTACTAGTTGAATTCCTCCTCGGTGGAGCATGCAGAAAAACATTGGTCGACTTGAAAGCAAACAGTGTTTAACTTTCTGTGGTAAGGAATTGATACTTAATTATACACTGGGGTCTGGAATATCTCAAAGCAACACATTACCAATCACCTGTTTCTTCATATATCTCTAGAGCTTTTTTGGCCATGATTTTTTTCATAAAGACAGTTGATTGCACCTGAGATTCCTCGTTGGAGGATTTCAGTGTTTGTAAAAGAAAAAAAAAACATGGTTTGTTACTATTCTGTGATCAATTTACTTCTACGCATACGGCGTTTGTTAAGTGAACAGGTCAGACAGTAACAAAACACAGGTAACCTAATGTCAGATGGATACATTTCAGCATAAAATCTACATCGCTGCATGTCAATTTCACAAGAAACAAGTATTTCCATATGTTTTGAAATGCTGTTTGGAATAACTGCTAGCTTTTGCGTTTAATAATGAAAGGCACTCCAGCATGCCTTATGAAACTGTATCGCTGAGCTTAGTCATCTTTTGAGTTGGTAACTTAACACTATGGGAAACAGCCTCAGAGGATTTTTGAAGGGAGGATTCTTTGCTAATTATCCTAAATGTCTGTGTTTTCCATAAAATTTGACCATAACTCTTCACAGCATGCTTCCTCATGTCAAGAAGGGGGTAAAAAAATAGTCTGGTTTGTAAACAAAAACATTTGATATCACAGATAACTAATTACAACCACATTTTAATCCTGAGTAAATAAGAATCGGTGATTATTTATCGAAGATATTGGCTGTTGAATGTAAATAAATTTTAAACTGAAGTCAAAACAATGTTATAAGTTGAGAAAAACATCTTCCAAATATAGATATAATTAACGGCTTATTTTTCTGTCCAAAATTTTATTTGAATATCGAAAAAAGAATATACAATAATTATCTTTAATAGACAAAATAGCATGATGCAAATTGCAAGAATTTTAATTAATATGATGTATTCAGTCAATAATATATTTCTTTCTGCTCTGCATAAACAGGATCACTAATGCTCGATAATAAAATTTGAAGTAAATTTGAAAACATATATAATTTTCCAAAATAAATGACAGAGAAATTAAATAGTTGTATTCTACATGTGAAAAATTCCTTGTTTTTCTTTTGTTGAAAAATCCGCACCCCCACACCCAGAACAAAAACATATTTCACACAGGATGATATACTCTAACATTAGACAGTATTTATTTATTTAACTGGTTTTTCCGTCCACTATTATGACCTTTTGACCTTTCAGTAGACAAACCTTAGACAGGAAATACCTAAATCAAATTTATAAGCCAGTACAGACACTGATCCAAATATTCAACAGTGACTGGTTTACACATATAAGGAACCACTGTGAAATATACTATGCTAAAATGATGCTACTCATTGCTATCCCCTCTTGTTCCTGTACTTGGGAAAAATGTCTGCATTTTCATTTCATATTAAATCTTATGAAACAGCAAAAATTAAAACTACAAGAGGACTTTTGTAAAATCTCATATACAATAAAAACAAATTTAATATACATCACGACTCAGAAAAGTTACATTTTGAAAGGTTTTAAAGTAAAGGTGTGGAGGACAATTTTGATGTGTAGTTTTTGATTCATGCCGTGACATCATTGTTCATATTACGAAATTACAATCAATTTCTGACAAGTGAAGCCAGGGAAAATTGCTCCAAAGTATACTACAAAAGTGACATATAGACAGAAATATTACATGGGTTAATTTAATGGATGACAGATTTTGCGATTATAAGATTTCTTAAATCAGGGAAAAAATTTATTGTGTGGAAAAGAAATAGAATTTGTTCTTTTGCACATGGTAAAAAGCTTTTTTTTTTTTAAAAAAGAAAGACAACTTTTAAAATGGAAACATTTTCTTATGAAAATTTTGAAAAGTTGAAATTGAATTACCCAACATGTTAACCAAGTCATCACATTAAAACACAATGAATGTGTATCCCACACTTCTCTGCATGATATCAGATTTCAAACCAGCCATGGTGATCAGATTCCCCACTGAGCCATCAGTCCAACCCCCTACAGTGGTCATGCCCAGGAGACACCTGTGCCCTCCTGCTGGTTTTTAAAGTCCTTTCTACGTAATTTTATGCTCCCCCAAAAAATATTAATGCTCCATTGAATAAGGCTTATGGAATTCCACATCTGGTGATTCCTGGCGCTTTGTGCTCACAGAATCTCACCAACGACTGCCATGGTAATACAGGCAGAAAT